TCCAGCAGCCAGCACAGGAGGAACAGGGGTCAGGGACCCCGAGGGGCACAGGTGAGGACCAGTCCTGGTCAGCCAGGGCAGAGCTGCCTGCAGACAGTTGGGACAAAAGTCGCGGCGTCCTGACCTGAGGAGAATGCCCAGTCACAGGGAACCACAGCCCTTAGAGCCCATCCCTGAATTAGGAGCTGGTGACACTGAGCACCCTGCCCACCACAGCTTGTCCACCAAGAGTTGTAGCTGCAGCTTTTCAGAGCTTCTGGTTGGGATAAAGTACGGAGGGAACTCTTCCCCATGGCCAGGCCTCTCCAGGTAACAGAGCCTGCCTTGCCTTAAGGCACAAAGGTACATCAGCAGGTCAGTGTGGCAGAGGAGAGTCCCACCACCTCACTACTCTCACACCCAGCAACAAGGATAGCCTTCCGTGTTCTTTCTGACCCTAGGAATTGCCACTGGTGTGGCTGACCTGAGGTCATGCAGCTCCCTCCTGACCTGCCAGAAGCCTCCAGGACACTTCAGTGTCTATGTGGAGGAAAGTAAAAGATTTGATAGGGAAATGGAACTTCCAACAGTTAAGTTACCTACTTCCCCACTGGCTCCTGTAGTCTACCTTGTGAGACCACAGGCTCAGCTGTGAGTCCCCTGGCTGGAGTGTGGAGAGGAGACGCTGCCCAGCTCCGTGGTCTAGACACAAAAGCTGCCACAGAGACACAAGATGTCTGTCTGCTGTCCTGAGGCTTTGGACTCTGGGTAGAACAGCAGTGCTCAGAGGGAACTGTCAGAAGAACCACCAAGGTCTCTGCCTCACTCCAGACATTAACCAGCCACCTGTCTTTCTCTGTCCAGGGACACTGAGAAGCAGTATCCCAGCCCTCTGCCCTGCATGGTCTGGGCACTGAGAGGCACCCCATGAGGTCTTTGTCAATCTGAATCTAGTCTGGTCCCATTTTGAAAGGATTCTGTCCTTGGTCGCAGACCCCAAATTCTATAAACTGTACCATACAGTTTTGGCCCTTCCATAGTAGGGGTGAGACAGCCTAAGAATTGGCCTGGATGATCAGTCTGTGTCTGGTCCTCCTAGATAAGAGATCGCTGGGACACAGGGAAAACAGAGTCTGGAGGAAAACTGGGTTTTGCTGTAGCTCCCAGACCGTAAACTTGCTGAGCAGGGAGCCACTCCCTCTTCCATGTACAAGTGTAACGTGTTCATAGAAGCATGTTAGAGGGTAGGGCTGCAGAACCCCCGTGTCCTCTCAGTGGGACAGCCTAGGATCTTCCAGGTAGGCACCCTGGTTCTGGAAGCTCTACTGTGGGCAAGGTAGGTGCAGAAGACAGGCCCAGTATGCGTCCCTCAGTCCCTGGACAGCTGCCTCTACTTGACTTTCTCTGTCTTAAAGTGATCATCAACCAGTTACCCTGCTGTCTTGGTTGGATGGTCATGGCAGTTCTGACACAGAGACAGGAAAAGGCCAAGGAAGGAAGTGTCCCATCTGACGGGAGAGCAGAAGGAGGGAGCATGGCAGTGCAGTGCTGAGTAGATGCTACCTGGTGCCCACCCCATGCTCTGTTCCTTACAGCAGGTTGATCTGCAGCTGTCCACTGAGGTCCTACGAAAGATCCTCACAAAAAGCCAGGAAGCACCTGTGCCTGGAGAACAGGTGCTTGTCCTGTTGGAGCCCCTCCCCCCTGAAATCCCTGCCCTTATAGGACTTGTGGGGCACTCCAAAGGCTCTACAAGAAGCAGGTGGGACCTTTCACCTGGTCAAACACTTGTAGCTTCTGTCCAGTTAGCTCTGAGACAGATTGTGAGGGAACAGAACAGGGAGTTCCTGTTCATGTTTGAACTTGATTCTGATCATCAAGGAGAGTCTGAGGCCTGAGGAAGATTACAGAACCATCCTCACCGTTCCTTCCCCAGCTCCTCATTCCAGAGGACACTTGTCCTTGAACAAGTGAAACCCTTTGAGTTCTCATTTTTTCTTGAGTTCATGCTCTATGTTCTCTCCTTGTGTGACCCATAGCAAAAGCCCCAAGTATTCATTCATTCACAGACACTGAAGTCTGTTTGGGGCCTTGTTAGAATAAGAACAAGTGATGATGGTGAGCCAGTTCTTGGCATTTTGTAAAGACTGTGGGCCCCTAGCAGAAGTGGGCATACAGAAGCTGCAGGGGAGGAGAGATGCAAGCACAGGCCCTTGGCAAGAATGGCCCCTTCCAAAAGCCTACTGTCACTCTGTGGCCTGGAGCCTGTTTGAGCCATTGTACCCTATGGATTTGATAACGAAAGTACATATAATTTCAGTACCAGCTCATGGGGGAAATACTTCTTTTAGTTCATATAGAGAAAACATCAGAGAAAAATAAGCACTGCAATTCTAGTTTTCCTTTACTGTAAAAGCACAGAGACGACCAAAGAAACACAGTGGGTCAAGCTGACGTCGCAACACTTTGCTCTTGCTGTTGACCTGGTACTGTTGCTGTTTTACAGTGCTAGGTATCAAATTCAGAGTCTTGTATACACCAGGAAAACACTCTACACCTCAACCCTTAAATGTTTTGTTAAATAAACATTTCTATATCCACCAGAGATTATTATAAATAAAAGTAGCTTTTAAAAATAGAAATTAAATACAAATGAAACCCTTCTAGTGGTAAAAATTTCATGAACAATGGCCCTGCCAAAGGGTCCTGAAAGTGTTGACTAATTCATTGCTAAAGCTTAAATGTTGTCTTAATCCTATGATAGCATGTGGAGCTGGATTTCTTGACCCTTAGAAGATGCCCCTGGATAACAGACATTAAACACAAGACCACATAATTTCACACCCCATGTCTACATATCAACTTACTGTCTTTATTCTTAATTCTACTCCTGTTTGCAGATTTAAATCAATCTATAATGCAGGATGACATATGTGGACTGCACTGTCCTCACGTGTGTCTTCCGTCCCCTGTGCTCTAAAAGCATGCTTTGTTCATGATGGTTAGTTATAGGGGCACAGCATTTGACAGCTGGGATCTGGCAACAGTTTTTGAGAGGTGACACTTGAGATGCACTTCCTTTACAAGCTTACATGGTATTTACCTGTCAGACCTGAAGTTCTTATGCTTTTGAAATGTACAGTTCCAGGGACCGCGTTTGTAACCATCTGTGTTTGTTCCTCAGATTGAAGTCAGTCAGCACCGTCTTGCCTCTCCCGTGAGAAGCTCTAGGGATCCACCAGTCCATTGGTAAATTAGAAACAAGCTCCAATTCAACTGTTTTCCCACACGTTCATTGTTTTAATACAGAATTAAATCAAATGACCTTGAGGACTAAGGGTGGCAAAATCGAATAAACCTCGAAACACACAGATGAATATTTTTATACAGTAGATGTCCTGGTTCACTTTAACTGTCAACTTGATGCAGCTGAGAGTCACATGAGAGGAGGGCCTCAACTGAGGGACTGCCTAGGTCAGAGTGGCTTGTAGGCAAGCCTGTGGGGGAGCATCATGATCAGTAAGCGATGAAGGACGCCCAGCCCACGGTGGCAGCACCGTTCCCTAAGCAGACGATCCAGAATTACACACAAAGCTAGATGAACGTAAGCCCACCTGCCCGTCAGCAAGCAGCATCCTCCATGGGTCCTGCTGCTCTTCTTCAGCTGTGAAATGAGTCCTTGGTCCAGGGTGACGCCATGTGGGATAGCATGCTGGCCTGTCTTCAAGACCCTGCCTTGGCTTCCTTATTGATGAACCTGGATTCTAAGCTGAATAAACTCTTTCTTTCTTAAGCTGCTTTTAGTCAGAGTATTTTATCACAGAACAGAAATGAAACGGAAACGTCTCTGTAGTAATAATTCCTGAGACAAATAATTTAAAATTTACTTTAAATCTTCTGCCATCACACACTTACAGTTGATAGTGAAACCTTTGAACTCTATCCTTTCTCAGTACAGCTAAGAGGTCAAGGGGAAAGCCTCCACTAGGAGACTAGGCAAGGCTCAGTGGTTTAGAGCCAGGGCCTGGAGGTAGTGGTCAGGGAGTGCCATGGGGTGACACACTACAGCTACAGTAGCTGTAGCTGTTCTAGGTAATCTTTCTATTGAACAATCCGACCCCTGGTCACAAACCTGTACAGTATAAGCCAGAAAAGCATTCTCCACACAGGGTCTCCTCGGGCATTGAGTCAGCCCAACACCAACACAGCCTTCCTTCCTAACAGTCCTCCTTGGGATATGTACAGGAGGCATGTGGGTGGTCAAAGCAAGATCTGCCCTACCTTCCTATCCTGAACTTTGATATGCATTAAGTGGATATTAAAGATGCCTTTGAAGGGAGCGTATATCCCAGAAAGCAGCGCTCTGGGCCAGGATGCCTGTGGGAGTGGTTGCCTCTCATCTTTCTACTCAAGGTCAATCCCAGGAAATTCCTGTGGTTACTGGTGCTGACCTTCCATCCTCTAAACCCAGGAGACAGCTTCCCTCCAGCCAGAGAGATCTAGATTCTACATTTGAGAGGATCAGAGGAGATAAGCAGGCCACCCATTCACTGAGCATCAGTAAAACCTAGAGACAGAGTCCAAGTTCCTAGGACCAACCATTCACCAACTAGAGACAAGCAACAGGACTTGTCCACAAAATATCAAAACAATTCATTTTAAAGCTCAGAAGTTCAGTCAGCACAGTTCTGAAGCAGGAACAATCCATACCATTTGAAAGATTTAAACTAAATTAGCCAAGAATTCTGAGAGCTCTGAGACCCCATCAAAGGGAAGGCGGGCTCACCAACAACCAGCCTCACCCTACACCTGAAAACACAGCCCACTGTACAGCTGGAGAGAACCCTTCAGACAACTTAGAGAGCCTAATAAAAGCACCAAATGTTTACGTACATTCTACTGGTCAAGTTATAAAAGTCTCTTTCACAGCTTGGTACCCAGGAAAAGAGGCACAATAGGAAACTTTCAGAAGATAAATTAACCCTCCCCCTCATACACACAGAGTCTAGGTCCCAGTTTACCTGAGTTTTTATTGGTCTTATTCTGTCGACTTTTAACTTGCTCAGTCCAAAGCGTGGGATAGCGAGATGCGATATCTAGGAAACAAGGCAGGGAAAGTGCTGCTTCAGTTTGTTGGGAAGCACAGGGTCCCTCAGCTAAGGGTTTCAGGAAGTGCTCTGACACAGCTCCCAAATTCAATTGAACAGCTCAACGGCATTGTACTTTTAAAGGAAACTGTTAAAGTGGTTAAATGAACAGGAAAAGGAAACAACAGATCTCTTAAAATATTATTTTTAATATTTTTTCTTAATTAAAAAGTGTAACTAAAAGCTATATGAATCTAGGCAAGTTCCAGATGTTATAAAACAGTCCCGTGTAAGCTGGTCAGTGGTAGAACAACTTGCTTAGTGCATAGGAAGTCCTAGGCCTGATCTCTAACACCACACACAAAAAATTAAGGTGAAGGAGGGAGGGAGGAGGAACAAAAGGAAAAAGGAAGGAGGGAGGGTGGAAGAGAAGGAGGGAGGGGGAGGGTGGTCTTCACTGTTTGCTAAGGACAGCTAACTTGACAACAGCCAGGGATGAGGGAGGGAGGGAATGGAGGGAGGGAAGGATGGAAGGAAGGAGAGAGGGAGGCAGGGAGGGAGGGAAAGGAGGGAAGGAAAGGAGGGGAAGGAGGGAGGAGGAAGGGAAGGAGGGAGGGAGGGAGGGAGGGAGGGAGGGGGAAAAGGGAGCCCAACACATCACTGTATCCTGTGCTGTAAAAATCACTAGTCATGGAGTGTGCCGGCTTTCACACAGTTAAAAGTGGGGTCACTTTTCTGCCCTGGGAACACAGATCCCACAGATGCCTGGGTTTGAACCGCCCTCCACCTGGGACAGCCTGCTCTGTGTTCTCACGTGTAGACTGGAGTTCTGTAGGCTGGAAGGTTAATACAGCAGAGCTGGGCACAGCCCCAGCACAGGCATTAGTCACTGTTTTATGTGGGAAGCATTCTTTATATTTTTTCCTCAACGTCTCATCCCATTTGACCTGAGATGCTGACTGATGTCTTCCACAATTGCTTAAAGGTAAATTTGGAGATCTGTCCTTGTCTTGCTTGTCATATGACAAGTTAAGTGAGTAGTTAATGAGTAGTTAATATGAGTAGTTAAATGGCCTATGTTATTGAAACACCTTTTAAAATACAGTTTTTTTGGTTTTTTTTTTTTTTGGTCTTTTTGAGACAGGGTCTCCCTGTAGCCCCAGCTGGCCTGGAACTCACTATGTAGACCAGGCTGGCCTTGAACTCACAGAGATCTGCCTGCCTCTGCCTCCCAAGTGCTGGGACTACAGGCATGCGCCACCACGCCCGGCTTTTTAAAATACAGCTTTTTAAAATTCACATTCATACATTCCATTAGTAAAATCAATATCGCTATGTTCTGCTTCCCAGAAGCCCCACAGCAATGTTCAAAATTCCAGGAAAAAAATATGGCACCCCTCAGTTGGAAATGGCCATGCACAGTCTGTTTTGGACATTTTGCGGTCTGTATTAAGATGTGCACCTGACGTTCCAAAAAGTGTGGTGAGCTCCTGTTTGCAGACAAACGAGGCTCTTTGCCCACCAGATCTCTACTCCGGTGTGCACCTGTGCTGAAGGCGCCTCTTCAGAAGTGCTCAGCACATGGCTCACTTCCATCCCCACACCTACCTTCCACCACTAGACCTACTGAAGCAACTTGGTATCACCTGACCTATGTCTCTGTTTCCTGTCCTTCTATTATGCTAAATTGAGGTTGGTCCTTTTAGATTCACGTATGAGTGACATGAAGTCAAATCCTTGTTTTTGTGTCTAGATTCTGAAGGCCACCGTGCCCAGATGGCTTGATCTCACTTTCCAGTCCCTAATGGCCCCTCCCCTCTCCCCAGCTGGTTCCCAACACCAGCTCACCTTCTTCATCTCCTTGGGGCTGAGTCTCCAACGCTGGGGCTGCGGCATCATCTGAATTCAGAACGGAAAAGATTTGCAAGGAGACTACAATTATGAGAGTAAGCTAAGTAAGTGTGCATACAGGCTGAGCCCAGGATTTGCAAACCACCCCCACAGATCCTCCCAACACAGCCCAGTACAGGGCAGAAGCCAGCGCTGAGCGAGGCTTCAAGACAACACTGAATTACCACCCTAGAGGCTGCAACTTTCAAATGCTACAGGAGCCTGAAAGCCAGGACCCACACAGGGAGCCCTGGATGCAGCCATGTGCGTGGGGACTGAGGGGCAGGAAGGGTCTGGCTGATGAAGGGGTTGGTGGGAAGGCAGTGTAGACCGTGAGAGGAATGGGTCTGTTTCCCAGACAACAGATGTCATATGAACAGTTGTTACTAAATTTACCTAAACAGCTCCTTGTGGACACCCTGTGAAGTTTAGGGTCTGAGCACCTGCTGTGACAGCAGAGGGGTACCCTGGGGCCACGAAGCCTCTGCTCCCTGATTTCTCTCAAGTCTGCATGGGTGATTCTGCTACAATAATCCTAGGCCAGAAGTACAAGACTCAGCTAGCTGTGCCCCATTATAGTGATTCCCCAGCTACCTAAAGAGCAAAAAGATGGCCTGACACAGGACTTTGGGGGAACCCAAAGAGGTTTTTAAAAATTTTTTAATCTTGCATCATCCTTTGAAAGCAATTTGCTGCCCAAATTATGAAAATGCAACATCACTTATGTGAGACTCTGGAGCCTAATGTTGGCAGTAAACATGAACCAGAATCATTTTGCCGTTGAACATTTTGTTATTTTCTAAGAAAATAAAATGAAAGGAAGGGCATGACTAAAGCACATTTAACACACTAGGATCTTAAAGGGACGTAGGAGGGATAAAAGGCTTTAAATAGCATCAATCAATCTCCCTGAATGTTGGCAAATACGTTTTGTGGCCGTGTGTTTGCGTCTATGAAGGTCGCGAAGGTGGGTCATTTCTAAAATCAAAGGGTCCTGGTTGTCCATGGTGAGCTGGTGGAGGTCTGGGTCCACCCAGAGCAGGGCCCTGTCAGCATTGCTACCCAGCCCAGATCCCCACATGTCCCTTGGACTCCATGTCTCTGAGACACACGCTCCTGAAAACAAAGGAAACAGTCCAGAGAGCGCAGAGGCTGCAATTTCCCTCCATGCGCTTCTTCAGCGTCTGTTCTGTCTCTAAACCCTCTCTGTTAATTTAGCATATTCTGCTGTTGGGTGCCAGGTGAGAGCTCGATGGAGTTCAGCCCGTTCGTTTCTTGAATTCATTTCTGTGCCCAAGTCCCACTTCCCAGACAGTTTTTCCACTGGGCTCACGGGCATCTTGGAGGACAGAAAGAGGAAGTGTTCTCGGGCTGCAGGACCCTCTGCCTCGCCCTCCCATCTGCATTCTGTGTACTGTCTCCTCACAAAACCTGTAACTTCCTTCTCCCTAAAATTTACCAGTAAGTGTGAGCCGCCTTTGTAGACTGGAGTCCAAGCGGCTCGACCCAGTACCCATGCAGTGCAACCTCCTTCCTTCTCAAATGCACCACAAGCCCCATCATGTTCCAGCTGGAAGCCGACTGGCCTCTTTCAACCAAGGCTAGCTCAATCCTGAGGCACTCCGGTCCTGCACAGCAGTCGCTGTCAAATGAGGGCATTACCACAGAGCCATCCTACCCTCTGTAAGTCCTTATGTAAGAATATTCTCTAGACTGGTTGATGGATGACTGTGCCTCCCCTCGGCCTCTCTGTACCTCTCCGCCTCCCCCCACCCCAGCCTCTCTGAACTTACTCCTTGCATGTATCTTAACAGTATACTTTTTTTCCAGGGCAGGGGTGTCCATGGGACTGAGGAAGGGTGCCAGCATTGCTATTTGGCCCAGATCCCCATGGGGCTGAGATGGGCCAAGGAGAAAAGGAAGGAGACAGCCTGGTTGTTCCATAGGCAGGCGACAGTCCGCAGGAAAACAGACTCAGCCATCAAGTGATTCCTAAAGAAGTCAACTGTCCCCTCAGAAGAGCGCCCTCTGGAGAGAAAGCTGACCCTTCCCTTAGACAGACAGACACACTGCTCGGTGCCCCCAGTAATTGCAATGGCCTGGGGTGAGTAGGAGCCAGAGTACTGAACTCCATTCTCTCACCTAGTGCCCTCGAAGCTGCTCCTAAGTCATCAGACACACCTAGAGCAGAGCTCCGTACTTCCACAGATGCCCCAACATACATACATACAGTGTTACCTGACACACCTACAATGGTACCTGACACACAGTTGAACCTGACATACCCACAGGGTCACCTGACACACCTACACTGTTACCTGACACACCTAAAGTTAAGCCTGGCACACCCACAGTGTTACCTGATACACCTATAGTGTTACCTGACACCCACAGTGTTACCTGACACAGGTACAGCATTACCTGACACAAGTACAGTTGCAACTGACACACCTACGGTGTTACCTGACACGCCCACAGTTAATCTGGCACACCCACAGTTGAATCCGACATACTCACTGTGGTCCTGACACACCACAGTTGTCCTGACACTGCTTCAGGAGTCCTCACACAAGCTGTACCCTACACCTCTGAGGGCACCTGGCCTTCCCTGCAGAACTGGTCCCTGGCCCCCATGGGTGACACAGCAAGCAGGACTGGATCCCTGTTTCCTGGGAGACCCAGAGGACTGACTGTTTCCTCAACATTACCCAACATATTTCAGCTTTAACTTGAGAAATGATTTCAAGGCACAATCAGATCAACTCTTACAGATCATTGTTCTAATTCATTTCAAGATAGTTACCTGCTTTTCCTGCGCCTTCCCGCTGGGGTAGCTTTTCATTGACTGAACCTGGAAGAGGCAAAAAGAACCAAATGGTTTTCAGTAATTAAGGCACGCAACTCCGTTATTCCATTGTGATAAGTTCAAGGTGCTTTCTCATGTTCTAGTTAAGTTACACAAACCATCTGCACCACAGGGGGCATCGCCACCCAAGATGTAGCCCTAAACTAGGACACCACAAAAAGTCCCCATTTCTGGGGCTCTGCAGTTGAGCATAGAACTTCACCTTAACACGTGGCAATATCTTCACATGACAAATGGCATCATATCCCCTCGTCAGCACACAGCACCATAATGAATGCTACGGCCGCGACACACAAAGGGAAATGTAAAGTAATAATATGTTATGAAGCCAAAGGTAATTAAAACACTGGCTCCAGCTTGCATCTGATTATGGGAAAGAAAATTGTAGAATTATCTTTCATAGAGGGATACAGACCACGAAGTAAATAATTTGTGACTAGATAATTTGTGAGGGAAGGTTTTAACAATGTATGGTGTGCACAAATTTCTACCACAAATCTGAGGTATTGTTCCTTTGTTTCTCATGTGTTGAAACTACTGTGGGTACCGACTTCTCCCCCATCATTGCAGGTGTCATACATGTCAGGAGAAAGCTCTACTCAGAATTAACTGAGACCCACACAGTGCTCCTCACAAAAATAACCCAACTTCGAATGTCTCACTTTTGTTTTGAATTTGATACGAAAAACAGATCAACATGTACATGAAAGGCATAGACAGCTCTGTGAATGTTGTATTTTAGATTGTTAGCTATTTCTTGAAAAGCAGTCATGATAGGAGACATAGAAGTAACGTCTATGGCTGGAGATCCTGGAAGGCAGGTGGTAACTCAGCCCTGCTCAGGACCTGCTGCCTCAGCCATACCCTGGAGACCTCCAGTCATAAGCCAGGAGGCCCTTAGTCCACGACCTAGGAGAATCTCAGTCCACAACTCAAGAGGTGCCCACAGCACAAACAGGTCATGTCAAGGAATGGAGCACAGCCAGGCTAGATATCCCTCCTTGGTGGGCACTGGTGGGTCAGGGCAGCCTCAGGGATGGCACGAGCCGAGGGGATGTGATGTGTGTGGACAGGGGCAGCCACACTCCCTGGCTAACCCACTACACCCTGCCAGGTGTCCCCAAGGTGCTTTCTTCTCTCCTCTAATTTGTCTCCCATTGGGGAATGTGATCCTGTCCTGTGGCTTCCGGGATCAGAGCAGTTTACTGTGTTAGAGTCAGGACTGGCCACTCTGCCTGTCCCTATCTCCAGCTTTGGGGTGCATCCTGTCCTGGCCCTCTTCATGGGCTTCCTAAAGCCCTCCAGTTCTAATTCATCTGTGCACTCATCACTGGGGGCTGCAATGAACCAAAAATTTTGCCTCTTCTGACTGGAAATGACAGAATTTTAGTCCTATTTCTCAGCATGTATATGTGGATTTTTATTTGTGAGTGAAACATAAATATGCTAGATAATTAAACTACCCCCTTGAGAGAGCTTCATGATTGAATTAAGATAATCTTTTGTAATCTAAGGAGGAATCAGTTTAAGCTGCTGACCAGAAAGCTGATTAGAGACGAGATCAGAAGGAGACATAATAACCTTCCATCTCGTCCCCAGGCACCCATGCTCTCTCAGAGCCAGCCACCTCTGACCTCATCAGGCCCCACATTCAATCAGCATCTACAGCTAGCCAAAAATAGTCGTATCTTGTTCTTCATCTGTATGAAAGAGCTTCACCACAGCACCCAGTGTCCGGGATCACACACCCTGCCATCCAAACATTGTGAAATAGGGAATTTAATTTGGAAGAGGCTGGACTCTACCCGCAGACAAAGGCTCTGCCGTTTTCTGCCACAGCCTCCCATCAAGGTGCTGGCCTGGACAGCTCTGTGACCAGTACAGTGGGTGAACTGGGGGAATCCAGGACCAACCGAGCGCCTCAGATTCTTCACAGAGCTTGCCTGTTCTGGTGTTCACAGAGGGATGCACCTGCTGGTGTCACTCTCCAGACCAGCATGTGAAGGGCATCACTGAATGTCTTTCATCAGTAAGCTTAGGTCCAACAAAAAGGGCCTTTTAAAGGGGTGGCTTTTTAACAGTCACACGGGGCCTTCTGGTGAAAGGAATCACGATGCACAATGCAAGGGAGGTACCGATGATCTAAGGAGGGGTGACAGGCTGCTGATCCTACAGCCTGGGTACTTGGTTCAAATCTGATTCAGCCCACAGGCTCACAGAGGGCAGTGCCTGGCTGCCAGACCAGCTCCTCTGTAATGCTTCTCTGAATGTTGCTGGACAAAGCAGACAGAGTGAGTGGCGTCCTCTGAGTCCACGGCTGGCCCAAGTCTCTGTTACGCCCATGTCTATGAGGCACCTCTCTCTGCTGGCTTCCTAGAGGCTGATGCTTGGCAGTAGTTGCAGAAACCGTGGACAGCGAGCCGGCTTCTGCAAAGGGAGTCCACGCAGGAGCCTGGGAAGGATGGACTCAAGCACTGTCAGTGGTAAGGCTGAAGACCACTGGCTCAGGAATGTCTCATTGCCTAACAAGCCAGAACCAGGAGGGGCGGGGGCGGGAAGGGCCCAAGGGACTTGACATGTCCAAGATTCCTCTTTGCCTAAGCCCTCTGCCCCTCACACATCGATCTCCACATGGGAATCACAAGCCATTGCCAAGAAGGGCATGAGGGGTCACTAGCTCATGGTAAAACTGGGCTAATTACTTGTTAGCTCCAGGCACTAGCCATCCAGGCAGGTGGACGTGATGCGAGCCCGTGGCACAGATGTGGCTTTAAGATTCACAAGAAAGAGAACCCAGGTCATTCCTGATCCCTCCGGACAACTGTGGGTGGGCATTTGGGATGAACACTAAACTGTTCAAGGTGTACGGAAGGTTAATCTTGGCTGTTCATCAGACTGGATCTGGAAGCAACTGGGAGATAAGCCACTGGGCACACCTGTGGGTGGATTGTTTTGGATCAGGTTATTTCAAGTAAGAAGACACACCCTAAATGCAGGTGACACCTTCTGGGCCGAGGTCTGAGGGAAAAGCTTTGCTTTTTGCCTCCCCGATTTCCAGGCTCTCTGGTGAGCCATCTACACTGCTGCTGTTTTGCCGGGATCAGAACCCAGCTTGCAACGTGGCCCGAAGACCAGTGGCTCTCCACGAATCCTCCAGACCTCCACTGTCAGGTTGGGACGGCTGAGGCATCCAGTCTCATGGACTGCACATCTACTGGACTGCGGGCCTCTTCTGTATGGAGGTGACCATAATGGACTACTCAGACTGTATAATATAAGCAGGTCTAATGAGTCCCCTTTTGATGAATACCCATCCTATCCATCCTGCTCCTCTGGGGAACCCTAATGTGGTGTGGAGCTTCAAAGCTAGGAGTTGCATGCTGGAAGACACATCTCCCAATTTGCTATTTCTTGGCTATCGGGGATTCCAAGGCCCAATGAATTCAGATCCTATGGTATGGAGGAAGCGCAGGGAGACATGGGCTCTGGGGAGAAAGCGATTTAAAGCCTATTCTGCCACTCAGTAGAGGTTTGAGGGAAGTTTTCCTACCCCCAAATCATGGGTGTGACACCTCTAACTTAGGTTACCACCACAAGACTCACCCAAGGCAGCCTGTCAGCCTCCTGTCCCCAGCTGCTCCTGTGTGCTGTGAACTCTGCACTGAGGAGCACTCCTGGGGCACACATTAACCTCCGTACTCTCATCCAAGAAGTCTCACCCAAGTCTTTCTCCCTGTCCCATCCACAGCTCAGAATGTGTGTTTTCTCCTTCCCCTTCTCCCAAGTCCTGGACCCTAGGACTTCCCTGCGTCAAACTTCTCAAGGATGGGTGCAGGCCACTGTTCACCCCAGAGGAGACCGAAGGCAGTCTGGAACTATATTTTGTAACACTTGAAGTGCATGAAACCCAACTAGACCTCATAATGAATTGTGAGAGAAGGATCTAGGAAACTTTAAGGGCCGGGTAGGAACCCTCTGTCCTAAGATCCTTGCAAGCAAGCCCTGAGCACAAGATACCAGGGCCCTCGCTTGTCTGTGGTCACTACAGGACACCTCTAGTCTGGAGCTGGGTTTGTCTGTTTGCAATTGTAAAACCCATCCTGCACTGTGCCTGCCTGTGGCTCCTCTGACTCACACAGACGTCAGCACTCTGCATTGGCAAGAGAGGCAGGGTGCTTCTGTCTGCACTGTTGTTTATCTTTCTGTAGAGTGAGTCCAGCACCCTACTGTGCTTTATCCACAGATGTCAACAGGCACAGATTTAGATTTTACGACCTGTGTTGCTGTGGGTCTGTTGCACATCCCCTGCTATGAAATGTGTTTCTGCGGGTTCATTCCCAGAAGGAAAGGGCTGGGCCCCTAGTGACTAACAACAAACTGCCTCAGACTACTGTTCTATCCTTACCGGCTCACCAGAGTCACCTGCCCGGGCCTAAGCACTGAGAGTCGCACTGGGATTCTAACCTGTACTGTCTGGTACGAAGACCTGAAAATCTCCCCCACTGTTACCGGCTTTAGGGTACCCTCCTCTAGGAAACATTGCCTCTTTGACCACTTTGGTGTCAATTAGCTCATCTTTCTTACTAATACTCAGGAACTTAAATATTCCACATGTGGCTTAAATACACGATGGTGAAATGATTGTCCATCTCTTACTCGAGGTCTTCCTGGCAGAAGGGAGGGAAGGCTTGGGGAGGGGCTCTGCTCCAGCAAGGGGGTGTCCACCTGCTTCCCCACATGGCTACCTCAGGGTGTATTATTAGGTATGTTCCTAATACCACACAGACACATAGACACATACATACACACATACATTCACACAGATATACACAGACACATACATATACACACACAGAGACACACATACATACATACATACATACATACCTGTATACATACATGCATACACATACATATACATGTATACACACATACACACGTGCATGTATACATGAGCACATTCTAACAGGAATTGCTTTCTGTTGCTCATTTCTAACTGAATTTCTGACTTTCCAATCTTACAGAGCAAGGTTTGCACACATATGGGAGCTCAGTGAAACTTGAAAGCAGAAGTCCTGATGCTGAAGTTTACTCAGTTTTGATGCATTTGATGAAAACTGCTCCCATCTTTGTAGCTGGAGGACAGTGTGCATGACCCATGCAGTATAAATGCTGGCTGCTGCTAACATATCCAAAGTGTGAGCTCCCTGGGAGCCGCCGTGTCCTTCTGTCAGTCCCAGACTGGGGTCAAGCAACACCTGTCACCCCACTTTTCTGCCTTGTTTATGAGACTGTGTCAATATATGACAGAAGTTGATTACACTATGCAAAGGTGTATTGTTGCTTCTGACTGAATGGGGTGAGGGTGGGGTGCTCAGTCCCTCCATAATCCTCCCTTTACTTCAAAATCCCTCACATAGCTCTGTGAAGTTTCCAAAACTGTTAACACGGTGCCTACTCTCTCATCCCTGCAGATTTTCAGAGGAAAGCATAGTACTCAGACCTGCCACAGAACACACAGATGTTCCCACTTGGTAGGAGAGGGGAGCAGTCAGGCAACCACCCCACAGATGCAAAAGATACTCCCACCTCAGAGTGGGGCCGCCATCCCAAAGAGCCCTGCCTCATCCAAGTCAAACTTTTTGTTGTTTTGTTAACAGAGACAAAGTCTCCATACAGAGTTCAGGCTTGGAACTCTCCTGCTTCTGCCCAAGCCTGGGATTACAGCAGCTGCCACCTGCCGAGCTTGAACCACTCTTTTCATCAACCACTTTGCCTCGTTCCCAGCCACCGCACACCAGGCTTTTAAGCAAAGGGGCAGAATATGCTCTCTTTCCTAATCCATCCCTCAGACCAGAAAGTCAATGGAAAATGGCATCTTTGCCTGCAGTCACTGTGTCACTGACACCCGGGAGGAAAGCAGTACTGTGACTCCAGAGAAAGTGCGCCCGCAGCAGGTGCGCCTCGCCTCCCCCTGCACGCCCTGCACACCCTGCACACCCTGCACACCCTGCACACCCTGCACATGGCTCTCTAGGAAAGCCCACTCACACAGAGCTCATCTCTTCAGACAGATGGCTAGGATCCCAGCAGGCACTCTTCCCTCAGGCTACACACAAAGTGGGGCTGCCTGGGCCACCGGAAGCTTCAGGTGACAGACTCACACCAACAGGATACTGACCTCTCTCCTCCTTTTCCTCCGTGTTTATACAAGAACTATTAGATGTGAATCTTACCTCAGCACTTCACAGTCTTCAAATGGCAAAAGAGTTTTGAAAGTAAATGAATGTATTTCCATTCAAGGGCACAAAGCATCTGGGTTTAGGACTTGGCCAGTCACTGGAAACATGGGGTTTGCTCCAGGGTGCCGAGGAGGCCACAGGGGATGAGCTCTGACTAGGAACACACAATGAATAGAATCCCTGGTCCTTAAATATAAAGTAAATCTAAGAGCAAACAAACGCTAATGCTTCCACCCTTAATTGGAAAGTTGTGGGTGCTGATGTGCTTTGCTTTGTTAACCACTGATAATCTCGACGGTTTTCACATTACAGTACAGCCATTTTGATGGTGAGAACATTCCATTTCTTCACAGAAGAGCTGGTAGGCTTCTCCCCAGAAAGTTCATCAGGCCTGGGCTGGAGACCATTATCTCATAAAAATGACCTGGAACATTTATAGCCTTTTTTGGTAAAATATTAATGGAAAAGGGGCCATTTTATAGGTTGTCATCCTGCCAGACTTATTACGTTTAGTACATTAAGCCCCTGTGTGAGTAAGAAAAAACACAAATAAGCGTCTGGACAGTGACCTGTGGGGCTGACCCACTTTCTCTTTGAAACTCCACATATACACAAGCAGAACTTTTTGCTTTTTTGGCCAAAGCAAATAATGGGTCATTTCCACTGGTTACTACAGTCTCTGTGGTTAAATGTTAAAACGATTCAGGCCCGGTGTCTCCCCAGAGTGAGCTGTCCCCACCACATGTACACAAAAGTCCTGACTTTGCTCCTCACGTCAATGTGGGGTGGTATGACTGGCTTGTCCAGGGAGCAAATCCTACCCAGCTCTTCCGCACACTTCCACCCAGACTGAGTGTCCTTTTGACTTGGGTGTAAACATGAGTGAGATGACCAGGAGCGAAAGAAAGTAATTTCCGTGGAGCCGACGTCCGTCAGACCTACCGGGGCACCTGGGTGTCTTGTGAGCCACGGCGGTGCCGCTGATGGGCCGCCCGTTTGGAGTGACGCACCAGCAGTAGCCTGTGTAGCTGTGACACTGGACCTGAGGAGAGCAGACGGGGAAGTGAGCTAACCACGCCCTGCTCAGCGCCCACAGCCAACTCGCCCTCCCCGACGCCACCTCAAAGGCCTTGAAACACCTGTGAGCCTCGGGCTGCTGAGCTTGGCTAGTCAGTGACTGAGCGCCACCACACAAGGGAGCAAAGGGCCCTTCACCGAACACGAGCGAGGGCTGGGTGCTGCTGCAGAGACCCTCCAGACAGAGCCCAGGTCTTCACCTCTCCAGCTGAGGACTGTCCAAGAAGCCAGGAGGCTCCTGACATCTCTCAGTGGACCCCTGGCTGACTCAGGGAGAGGAGACAGGGGTCCAACAGTGGGGTGCAACACCCCAACCACCCCCTTCAGATGATTACAGCAGAAGGCACGCCAAGCATCACCAGCTCCTTCCTGTGACACCCTGTCTTCCCTCATCTCTCAAAAGTCTCATGACTGCCGAGACACCCTGGCTCACAGTGCTCTGGGGGCTCACAGGCGTTGATGACAGAATGCTCTGCTGTTCCTCCAGCACCCACTATACTGCAGGTGGCTCTTTGTCCATAACAGCACTGACTCAAAATCACAACTAGGATGTTTTTGACACTGTTTGGCCGACAATGCAACCATAGGCAAGCCACAAGCTATGGTGTCAGCCTCCAACTGTGAATGACTAAGTCACAGACAGGTTCATGGATCAGTAAGCTACAATCAAACCCAGAGCCTAGTCAGGTATGCAGGCCTGATGCACCTCACTGAGAGAGCTGCCCATGACAAACTCACACAGCCCAAGGATGCACACACCACAGCTGTGATGTAGACGCCGTGCCAGCTGGGCCCCAGCTCCCTCCCTCCCCCACCTGGTTACACTGTGAGGCTCCTGAGGAACTGATGTCTCAGAACAAAAGAGGACCATTTCCCACAGAACAACCCTGGCTCCTTTCCCTCATCTCTCCTGTCTCCCTGGCACAGTGGCCCCAATGGCCCAGATGCAGACCCTCCAGGAAGGGGCAGGGATGGTCTAGGTACAGAACCTCCTGGAAGGGGCAGTTATGGCCTGGGTTCAGACTCTCCCAACAGTGTGGGTCACCTGACTGTAGGTGCCATCTTCATTACATTCTGGGATGAAGACTTGCTGGAACTCCTTCCGGGCCTGCTCCTGGGTATACTTCCTCTCAGCTACACACCTGGACACATCTGTAGGAAGAGCAGAGCAGAGCAATTGCAGGGCAGGAGGGAAAAAACAAGCAGGACATTCGAAGACAAACATGAGTTGTTGAGAAGGGCGGACCACAGGGCTGCCAGGGGCTGCCCAGCACAGCAGGTACCTCCCCGACAGACCCACTTTGTCCTGACAGAGGCTGGAGTTGGGAAGAGCAGGGTTCATTCCAGGGCCCCAAGACACATTCAGATGCCGTGGGAGCTAGAGGACACAGTTCACCTCAGACCAGAGGGGACCAACCCAGAGGCAGATGCTAGGCTCTCCACAGTGCAGGACCTGACACCCTGCAGCAGCCTACACCGTCTTTGAAAGGAAGTCGGGACTCATCTCCTTCCTCGGCATCTTGGTCTCCAGAACTGCAAAGTCCATACTAAGTCGTCAGGAAATCCTAATGATTCAGTCGATAAAAAGCCAAAGATCTCATAGATTATGATAAAATGCTGATGTTACCACAATTTATTTAGTGACATGAAGCATTTTGTAGCTACCTACAAAGAAAGCCCCAATGATAGACCAATCAATATGGAAAAATCCAAACACTTCCAGGAGCTGGGAACAGAGTTCTGTGCTGAAACGCTGCCCAGCTGCACCAGGCCCAGGTTCCATCCCCAGTACACTCCAAAAATGTGCATTTAGGGCCATGTAGATGGCTCAGTGGGTGAAGGTGCTTGTTGTCAAGTCTGAAGGCCCAAATTTGATCCCCAGGACTCACATGGTAGGAGAGAACCGATTCCTACAAGTTTCCTCTGACCTTCATACAACCCCATGGCACATGCACACCCTTCACACACACACACAAAAAAAATAAATTTTAAAATGTAATGAAAAGTTTATATTTAATTTTACTCTAGGGAAAAAATATTTCACACATGAGTGTTGGTGGTTTAAAATGGAGCACAGGCAGAGCAAAGGGTTCTTCCCTCTTCTGTGTGACCAACAGACCTGGCAGGTGTCCGAGAACCACAGGTCACTTATCAGTGGCTTCAGATGCCAGCAAGAGGCATCAGGTATGAGCCCCAGACTAACTAGGACCCAGCGTTCCATGCTGCAGAGAGGGTAACTCAAGTCCTAAGGAACATACTTCCCAAAACATCATGAGAGCCACCACACTGCCCTGGGGACTACACCACAAGGCCCACCTCCCTTAGTTGGTCCATCACATCACATCACCACACTACTCCTTTGAATTAAGCATTGAGAAGGATCTGTTCTGATGTTTCTGACTCCAGGTTGAAATAAGGAGTGTCCAGGTGGAGAGGGCACTTGCAGCCTCTGGAATCTGAGACGCGCCTTCCCCCAAGCTGTCCACTCTTCCCACAGAGACTCCTGGGACCTGAAAACTGTAGGTGGTAACAAATGTCATTGTGGGCATCAACCTAGGCCACAGGCAGCTCTAACGTGGCACCTCAGGGAATGAAGATGGCTCTGTAGGAGCTCCTGAGACACAGTTTGCTCAGTGTCTTGGCAGGGCCCCAGTGGCTCTACAGGAAGTTCAGGGACATGGCTTGGTCAAGGTCTTCCAGACACTTGCAGGGCCCATCTTGCTCCTCTTCCACACCAAGCACACTGCATGGTGTCATAGGTCTGCACACCTGAGAGGAACCCTTCACCTACTCTCTGGTCTAGCAGCTGGTGCTCCCAGCATGTGGTTTAAGTTTTAACTGTGTGTGTATGGTTTATATGTATTTGTGTGTACGCATGTGCATGTGGAGAACAGAGATCACAGTAGTATTTTCCTCAATCACTCTCCAGCCTATTTTTTAAACAGGGACACTCACTAAACTTAGAGATCACCAATTCTGCTAGACTGGCCACCAGCAAGTCCCAGGAATTCTCCCGTCTCTGCCTCCCCAGAGCTGGGATCACAACGTGCTGTGATCCCACCTAACTGTTTACATAACTGCTGGGAATGGAACCCAGGTCTTCGTGTTTACCTGGTATCACTACCAGCTGAGCATCTCCCCAGCCCCAGCACAAGACTTCGTGCAGCCTGTGTTCACCAAGCAGAAACCACCAATTTGTTGGCTTGGCCTTTTTTTTTTTTTTTTAGCATGTCCTATGGCTTGACCTTCTGAAAGGAAAAGTGGTAGGGGTCTCAGCTTGCAAAGTCCCAGCTAGGGACAAACCATAAATTAGTCCTAATATTTGAACCATCATGTAACATTCCAGAAAAGCATAAACTTTCCAAACAATGTGTAAGCTTTGTTCCTGGCTTGGACTTCTTTAAAGACTTCACGTTCCCCATAGTTTAGATCTTTCCAAAACCTGCAACTCTGTTTAGTGCGATGTTCAGTTCCAAGTTCATGGCTGGCATGTCACAGACTTGCTGGTCATAGAAGACAATAGTGACAGCCGTATAAAACCACAGGATCTGAGAAAGTCACCCCCAAAGTGCACTTGTCTTCACCTGCAAAGTCAAGGTGGGAGGTACTGAACATCCCACGATGGCCGAGAATACCCATCAGCATGTCCCACTCAGACACCTGCTGCCAAGTCAGGTTCAAGGTCTCCACACTGAAAACAGGAGCCTCCACTGGGGAGATCCATTCTCCTGAGAGTCATTGCCTGTGGGGGATTTACACTCAAAAATGGCAACATCTCCCTGTGTTCTCTCAATCTAAAATATTACGCCAGGTGTATACAGCACCATAAATCTAAGAAATTAAAATCTTGCACACCTTCAAAATTGCATTTTTCCAAACCTAAGTTTTCAATCACTTTTGAAATAATAGAAACAGATACATTCTTTGGGTGGAGTTTTGTTTACGAGTGCTAAATTTATATTGATTTTATTCTTTAAGCTTATACAGATAGCTTAGAAAATAAACAACTTTTATTTAGAGGCCTTCTTGTGATTTTTTTACACTGGGCTTTTGTTTCTGTTTGAATATTAGATTCTTGAAAACCAATCAAAATGAATATTACTGTGGTACCACTGAGCAGTACATGAAATGTTCCCTTTTAGTCATTTTCCAGCACAGATCAGCAGCACTTCCTGCATGCCTGATGCTGAATGACCACACTGCCTCCAACCTGTCCAGCTCAAAGCCATTGCTGTCCACTCTAGAAGGAACCCCGCACCCAGAAAGCACCACCCTCACCCCAACCCCAGAACGAAGTTTACTTTCTGCATCTGTGGATTTCCCTCTCCTGGACATGCAGGGCCACACACTCACAGTCTCTGTCCTCACGGTGCGTCCCTGCCGCAGGACGGGATGATGTCCCTTTCCCACCTGCAGTGAGTCCTGGTTCCCTCACCCAGTCATCCACTGACTGACACTGGCTGCTCCTGGCTTTTGACTACCATGAACATGTGGTGATGGAAATTCCCAGGTCAGTTTCTGTTTGAGTGTCTGCTTTCCTGTCCTCTGGGTTTAAACCTAGGGGGTCACGGGTGACTCAATCACCAGTGGAGAGGAGCTGCCGGGGGCTTTCCGTACAGGCTGGGCTGTTTCATATCCAGCTGACATAAGGAGGCTACAATTCTCTGTGTGCGTCTTCATCTTCTCAGTGAATATGAATCTCAGTACTTCCAAAACTATGGTTATTTTCTATATCATTGGCAAAACCAACAACTAGAAATTACAATCTTAATATTGTAATTAGGGCTGGAGAGATGAGTGGGTGGTTAAGAGCACTTGCAGCTCTAGCAAAGGACCCGAGTTCAGTTCCCAGTACCCACATCAGGCAGCTCACAACCACCTATAACTCCAGCTCCAGGGAATCTGATGCCCTATTCTGTCCTCTGTGGGGACCTGCACTCAAATCCCATAATACCCCACTACACACACACACACACACACACACACACACATAAAAATTCTAATGAAATAAAATTATTAGTTTAATTCCCTAATTGGATCACTTACTTTTTACCAGAGTAAAGAAAATCTCTTTGATGTAAATCTGATTAGACAATGTGGAGACTTCATATTGTGACCTGAAAGAGCCAGGACTCTCAGCAAGGCATCACGAGCAGGGTCCTAACAGACGGTTTTGACAAATTGTTGATTAGTGCTAATAAGTTTTGGAAGCAGCTGGTTTCTGGGTTTTTTTTTTTTAATCTCAATTGAAGAGTAAAATAGATTCCAATGATATCACAGGATTGTATATAAGTGTGATGCTCACTGTAAAGTAGAAATGACCAATGGTTTACAATGGTTATTTCTGCTTTTAAACAGGAAGCAAAAAATTTTACTGAAATCACTCAAAATGGAGCCAAGCAGTTATCAGAAGAGATGGCTTTGCTGGACATCTTCTGCCCAAGACTCTTAGCGAGTAACAGTTCAGAGGACCAGTCAGAGGGAACTTCCAGAAAACTTGCAAGAAGGTATCTCCTTAGAGTGACCATGAGCTCATGGTCTGTAAGCTCTATGAGCTGCTCCACCAGGGGTTGCTGTTCATTAGGAGCACTCAGAGACCAAAGTCCCCAGGGCTCTGCTCAGTCCCACGCCTTGCTGAGGTGTTGCAGGTTATACTACTGAGAATACCTCCAACACACTTTCTGCAGAGGCAGCTCCTCTGGGAAGTGGTAAATGGCTCATGCCCTCCAGCATGGGACAGAACAGGCAGGCAGAGGACAGGGGCACAGGTCTAGGTCTCCTGACTTTCAGTCACCACGGTTACTGTGATGGTCACCACGGTTACTGTGATGGCCGTGTGAACTCTCTGGGGTCAGAAACAGTTTTCACTGCTGTTCCCTGTGGCTCCATGTAGTGGCCACAGAAATGACAGACCAGGAGTGGCCTGCCTTTGATGGTCACCGGCCTCAAATGAAGGCAGACGCTGTGTTTCAAAGCTATAATACTCCTCACCCACTTGTAATTTTGAAGGCCAGACTGAACAAAGGCTAATGCTGCAGTGACCCTTAGCATCAAAACATGCTTCTCATCCATGCAGCAGGGGGCTGTGGTGAGAGACTCGAGCCACAGCAGGGCATGCGCTCGCACACATGGAACCCTCTCCCACACACACG